CAGTAGCAGTAGCAGTGGCAGTAGTCAGGGAAATGGTCGATGGGGCATTCCTCGTCAAGGGTAGCTTTCGTTGACTTCCTAGCGGCTGGGCGTAGCAGGTGTAGTCGCGGGTCCGAAGGAGCTACGGCTGGGGCCGGGACATGTAGGGACTTGTTCACAACAGTCTTCTTAATCTCTTTGGGTCCGAAGGCAGCATTTCGTCTCATGCACTGCCGATGCCGACATCCCTCAGGATACTAACCTGACCAGTGCGCTGCGCCCTTGGCGGCTGCAAGCGCTCGCAATGAACTTGTTTGGTGACTGCGGCGCTGCCGGACCCCAGAGTAAAGGAACACAGTTGACAGCCTGTGTTACTACGGGACATGGTTCAATGTAGTCTATACTATATACATCTTTTTCGTATCCACACCTGCATGAATCGAAGTACCAAAGAAAATGTGCACCAATGCCTGCGCGTGTCTATAAGTAGTCAGCACAATTCTGAGCCATGTAGCTGTGTCTTTTCGGGGTTTCGGGTTTGCACTGTGGGTTTGGGGGTTCAGGGTTTGAAGCTGGACTGGGTTTAATGCTTAGGGGTCAGGGTAGGAGCATAACTCTGATGTGATGCGTATTCACATAGTCAAAGCTGTGCAGTGTCGGCATCACACCCTGCGACCAACTGCTGCTTGAACCCCGAGACCCGAGGTCCTTGGTGCAAGACCCCGAATCCCAGGTCCTAGACCCTACCTGCACAGTCCTCGGCTCTGTGCTGTACGAAAAGCCTTCGGGGAAGTCCTAGGTCGGCCCCGGCCTTGAAGCCCTGGAGCCAGTCCGCGCGCTCAGCGTCCTAGGGTCCTAAGGTCCTAGGGTCCTAGGGGTTCCCCTCTGGGCGCTGAGGCCGAGGTACTAAAGCGGCTAAGAGATAAGTCTCGAGTTCCCAGGCTTAGCTCGGAACACGGGAGGCTTAGAGCGTAGAGCTTGCTTTAAGAGGTGGTTGAGGCACGCTTTGCGTCGGCCTGTTGGCTTCACACACACACAGAGACGGCCCGAAGTGGATAAGTCGAAGGTGTTTGCGTGCTGTGGCGTTCGCAGAAGCGAGAGCCAAGGCAAACCGATCTACCTCCAATCACCGTCACCTCGCGCCGGCCTCTGCCAAGCCCTCGAGATATTTCAAGGTGTACTAGCGTCGTCTGCATTATCTCAGTTGTTCGTGATGGTGCCTCGGCGATTGTCGCCATGCTGTGGGGGTGTGGTGGTGCTATGGCTAGCAACTTCGCGTCAGTCCTATCAAAGCTGCTCCTCAGGAACAGAACCTGGCAGGGTGACTTCGTGGTCGACGAGAAAAGCCACGTGCCTTTGCGCCTCGTCCAATCGAAGAGTGTTAGGATGCGAGCTAGCATCGTCATCCACACATCACAGATCTAGCATTCGTGAAGAAGTAGATGCCGCTCAGGACATCCTGGTTTACTCAGCGGAGGAGCCTTTTGCGGTGCAGCCTTTTGGGAGACTTGGGCACTTCGAAGTGGGGAGCCGAGGTCAAGAGAGAAGGCCCAAGGGCGTCTTCGTTGCAAGCGCATCATGTGCATGGCATTGCATGGCGCTTGATTGCCGCAGCTGCACTCTCGCCATGGCGAGAGAACTTGCATAGAGCATCCCCCATGCCGAGCACTTCAGCACGCTCCAGCCTCCAACCCAAACTCCGAGGCCCAGCGATGAAGATAATTGCTGGCCCAACATGACCACCTTAGGCTTGTCGCTCACAGATAAAATGGTTCTACATACATATCAACCACCTGAAGCCCTTAAGCCGGTAGACGCCCCCATGGCTCTGGCCGGCCTGCTTCTGGGTTTATCTGCCTTGGGCGCTGTATCGGGCCTGACACTGGCCGCTTAGATTTGCTATGGAGCTTCAAGTCTCATGCTCCAACCCGACTGCACGAAGTCATTGTGTAGTCTGGTCTTGCGACGTCTTCTTCTGGCCGTGCTGTAAGCTTTCATTCCCTCCGCGAGTTTTGCAAGTTGATGTCATCCAGCATTCAAGATCAGCGGACATTGATCCATCCGGATCATCCTTCCCGTAGAACATCCCCAGTTTGATCCCTGGCAAAGCCTCCGCAACATTGCCGACAGAGTTTGAGCAGAGCCCCATAGCCCTGCATTCCAAGGATCCTCAAAAGGATGCGGAACTACTGGCCGACCTCAAGACGCGTTTTGTCCGCTTTATGTTTTGTCGTTGATTCTCCCTCGCTGTCTCTCTCTCTCTC